CGACGTTTTGTTTTTGTGGTAATAATGACTATGACAAACATGGTGAATCTACAAAGTGTACAAAGCCTTGTGCTGGAAACACAAATGAATTATGTGGTGGACATATGGCCAATTCTGTCTATAAAGTTCAAGGTAATAATTTTTTATACTAACTTCACTCAAAATAAATAGTTACTGCTAAAATGTTTAAGATGAAGGCGCTGTGTGATATGAATAAAAAAGGCGGTGGTAGGAAGTGAAGATAATTGGAACAGATAACGTCTGACCCTTGAAGAGATAAAGAATGCTGCGTTCAAGAAAGCATACAAGCAGGAGTGAGTTCTACAGTGTAGTCATCTATCCGAGTTGAAATTTCTCCTTGCACTGGAAGAAATTAGTGGGATTCGAGTCCGGTGAATTTTCACAGCGTGTGCTCGTTGTAAAGTTTTTTAACTGCTAGAACTAAAGAACAGAGCTCATGTGAACAGATAGATACTTTGGAAATAATAACAGAGTAACGATAGGCTTTTAGAAATTTTATCTAAGGGAAACAGTCTGCAGAGTTGATAATAAGTCTCCCCCCCAAAAAAAAGACCACGATTTTGAACTCTGTCAAGGCTGAGAAGAAAGGATTGAGGTGCTGCAGTCCAGATATGCCAACAGTTTTTGATTTTAGATCTAGTCTGAAACTTTGAAAGTTAAAATATAGCAGAAGTAGCCAAGAACATATTTGAATGATAAAATGAGCAGACAAGTTTTCAGGTATCTTCATCAATGGATCATTTGACATCTGCTCTTCTCTCCATTCTCGCCAACTTGTTTCACCTTTTTTTGGATAGGCGTGTGAATGGCGACGAAAAATAGATCTTTTATCGAAATGTTAAGCGTGGCTTGGTAAAGGGGAAGGAACTTCATGGGCAAAAGGTTCTCCTTTCAATCTGGTGAGATCGCCAAGGAATAATCCACTTTGAATTCTTACCACCTAATGCAACAATTAATGCTCAAATATACTGTCAGCAATTAGAGCGTTTGAACCAAGCTTTGAGGAAAAAAAGACCTGCTCTCGTGAATTGAAAAGAGGTGATGTTTCATCAGGACAATGTGCGACCACACACAGCAAGAATCACGTCACAAAAGATTGGTTGGGAGAAAATTCCTCATCCACCTTATTCTCCCGATCTTGCTCCTTCAGACTACCATTTGTTTCGTAGCTTACAGAATCATTTGGAAAAAACAGCTTTTTTTCATCAATGGATCATCTGGAATTCCACTTGAAGTCTGGAGAGAATTTGGTTTCTGAAATCATAAGCTTTAATACAATCCTGCAAATGATGACTTTTACCTTCTGTTGGTTGATTATTTATGTTTAACGACATATCAACACCTCTATGGGTATTTAATGCCGAAATCTGAATATTTGTACTCAATTTTATGGCTTCAACTAAAATATTTTCTACATAATTTTACATTATCAGGGCAAAATTACATTTTTGTTTTTAGATATATAGTATGTAGATAATATGTATTGCTCTTTATTCCACAATAAAAATTTATTTTTGATACGTTGGTGCTGTATTGATTGTCATTTTGCCATAGAAATGTATTACTACTGGTCATTTTTTTAATAAATATAATGCTGGTATTTTTGCTATTGTGAATTTTTGTAAATGTGAACCGCCAGTCAAAAATTAAAACACTATTTTCCCAATGATGTGGCCCTAACAGGAACTGCCAACGCCGGATCAGGATGGACCTGGGAACAATATTAATTAAGAGGTGGTGTCATGCTCCTCATCCCCCACGCCCACCCCGTTCATGTGTTTCGCATCTGGATTTAGTTTAATTTCGCTTTCAAAAAGGTTATATTCCAGGAAACCTCTTTTGATAGAATTTTTGGACTAACTTATAAAAGATGCTGACGCTTACAATGACGTCATCATGTATTTTGAAATGATTTGTTACAGATGGTGTTTCAGATTTCATGACTAAATTTTATTTAAATTTAAATTTAAATTTGATTTGAACTCCAGGTTGTTAGTTATTCTGCAAGTGCACTGTGAAGTAAAAAAAAAAAAAAAAAAAGAAAAAAGGGAAACAAAAAGATTGAAAATTGTTTGATCAAAGTTATATTTTTTTCTTTGGTCAGTCTATATCTATACATCTTTTATGCAAAAATCGCTAATATACTTCCGGATCAAGACGTAAATTCACTTCCGGATCAAGACGTAAATTCACTTCCGGATCAAGACGTAAATCCACTGTACTATAAGGATTTAGCAGCTTCATCTAAGATATGGCTTTAATTATTCACTTTTTTTGTTTAATTTGTTCCTTGTAAAGATAAAGCATGGTAGGTGTAGTCATGTACTTCCGGAAGTGATAGAATAAGCAGACAATTGTAAAAACACGGGAGTCAGATCAGACCAAAAATGGAGTATTGCTGCCATATCTGGCTCGAATTTACCGCACTTTCCAACCTTGTCAGATTTCGCGGACTTGTGGGTGATGAATTGCTTTCCATTGTTAAACCCCTTTCCGACAGTGTTAACTAATCTGTAGTAATTTTCATTACACGTGTTTGTGCATTCAACATTCCTGGAAGACACCTATCTATACCATCAAAGCTATGACCGACCATCCCATGACTAGATCCCTACCTATTTCCTTCATATTCCATTAGTGAAGAGGAAGTTTCACTCAAATAGCTTCTTTCCCATGAATTTAAAAAAATCTCATTTAATAAGCCTCTAAAACAACTGTTTGGCTTTGTATCGAGTGAACATCAGTAAAAGGAAATTTCCTTCTCCCTTCAGCCATAGGTGGAATAGTGTAGTCTGGATTCGATAGACTTCGTTGGCAATCAGTGTCGATATGATGGCTCCGTAAAAACAATTATTATCTAGTAGATCCTTCCACTGGTGGAGATTTGATAAGACCCGTGAAAATTGGAATTGAGTGAATGTCTGAAATCATGTTAGTTGCGCAGTTTGCCGTAGGCGGAAATAGCGTCTATTTTTAGTCTCTTTGTGTAAATCGTAGAAGTTACGGAAAGTGAATGAAATTCATTTCTTCTTTTGCTTTTCTTTTTTTTTAGATTTCTTTTATATCGGCTTAAGAAACGAAAACGGTACCAATAAATGGAGTGACGGCCAGCTTTTAACCGGCTATTCTGATTGGGCACCAGCTAATAATTTAAATCTTGAAAACTCCTGCGTCTCTCTCCAGTCTCGGCAGGACTATAAATGGAATAAAGGACCCTGTATGGATGAAATGCAGTTCATGTGCGAAAAGGTGTTAAAACGTCCATAGAACGGCAGCGTTTTGAATCAATTATCTGCTTTGTATGTTTGTCTATGAATCTTATTTTTAAAACGGTATTTTTTCTTTGTCAGCGAGGCTTAAAAGAAAGATGAGTAAAATCTTCTGGATGGACGATGCAAACTCCGATATAAGTCTGACCAAAGTGTAAACTGGAGCAAAATTAACCATTTGACGCAAATGTAAACTAGATCTATGGCTATCTGTTGACTCAAGTATAAATCGAGAGTATTTTTAGCTCAAATGTAAACCGGACCAACATCCCGTAATTTTGACTTGATGAATACATAAAAACGATACGATAGGACGAACTGTTATGTGAAGACGCGTAGAGAAAAACGATATGATAGGACGAACTGTTATGTGAAACGCGTAGAGAAAAACGATATGATAGGACGAACTGTTATGTGAAGACGCGTAGAGAAGAATGTGAAAGAGATTTGAGAATGATGGAACAGACTGAGTACAAGAAAGTGAACTTTTTGAAAATTTCTTATAAAAACAAAAAAAAAAAAAAAAATATTGGACACGCAATATTCAAATGTGTACCAGAAACTATAAAAATGGTTTAAATGCAGAAAAAAGTAAATTAAAATAAAAAATTCCTTCATAAAATCATTTCGTTCGTCTTTAGATATACATATATATATATATATATATATATATATATATATATATATATATATATATATATATATATATATATATGTGTGTGTGTGTTTCGCACATGTCTCTGTGTGTTAGTGTGTCTATGTTAAAGCAAATGTTATTAAAATCGATCGACAAGGTATGTCTGACTAATGTTTTTTAAGACATTTTTCCATTTTGCGTATGAACTGTCGAACATTTGCAACATATTTTTGGAGAAATTCTACAAAGTCCGTAATGTTTTTCCTCGGGTACTTTTTTGACCATCTGTAAAAATTATCAGGAGCGTCGATGTCATCATTGCCACAGATAAATGATTTTATTAGCTTCCTTCAAGCATTTTAAGGAATGCTATATTTCTTATTTAAATATACCAGAATCTTGTCTAGTATTAGATTCCTGTGTAGAACACTGTGGAATTATTTGTAAGAGGGTTACTTTGAATACTTTTTGAAAAATTAGTCTTTACAGAGTTTTCTGTCTTTCTTTACAGTCAGTACTGTTTAGTATTTCAGTATAATAAATTCGTATTTGTCTTATATTACAGTTCATATTTTGATTTTTCTACTTTGATCGATACATGAAAAACTTCACCGATGAGTAGCAAGTTAACCTACGAGAGAGTGTTGTTGATGTGTGATCAATTTAAGTAATTCATTCTAATTTCATTATAGGTGTTGGAGATACACGTTTCCAAAGTGCAAGAGAATTGATAAACAACATTGTTTTGACATAACGGTAATATTCGAGGTCTTCTGTTATTAATGATCAGGTTAGATGTAATAAATAAATAATAAATCTTCTGTATTAAATACAAAAGTGGTATAAAGCAGCAAACTACATTTTGAAAGGCTTTTCCCTCCTCTTCATATTGTGGATCTAGTTAGAGTAGAATAAGTTAATGATATTTTTATCTGATATCCTGGAATGAGCTCTGAAAGAGATTTCTTCAGATTCCACCATATACAAAATCTTACGATCATTTCATAGAAACTGGTCTCTGTTTTATTGTGATGTTTTCCTTTAAAACCCCACTCTCTCTCTCTCTCTCTTAGTTTCTCTCCCCCCCTCTCTCTCTCTCTCTGTCTATCTATCTATCTATCTATCTTTCCCTATCTCTCGCATGTGTATTTTTGTTTTGTTGTACAATGAGTTGGAAAGTATGATGCTTTTTTTTTATTTCCTTTTTATTTACATTTAATTTGAATGTTCGTTTTGCCTTACAACCATTTTCTTTACTATCGTTTCATAATGGCTTTTTCCTCATTGAAAATGTTTGCTTTGACAAATTGTCTGGCAATCTGCCGCTGTTGGATTATGAACTGTGATTTTTTGTGGTAAGCACGAGAGGTGGATTTGTGAATAATGAGCTATCGTTTAGTTTTCTGAATGGTTTTGGCATTGAAAATTACATCCTAGAGACTTGTCACTTTTAGCTTTCATTTAATGTCTATTTCAATTTCGATTCCTTTAAATATCTCCATAATTCTTATTATGGTAAAATCTGAGTTTCTTTTCTTTTTTTCATAGGATTATGAGTTTAGCGTTTCTACCAATTATTTTTCTTTTGTCAATTAAGGTTAGCTCGTCTATATATTGCTTTTCATAGAAACTGGTCTCTGTTTTATTGTGATGTTTTCCTTTAAAACCCTACTCTCTATCTCTTTGTTTCTCTTCCCCACCCTCTCTCTCTCTTTCTCCCTCTCTCTCGCGCGCATTTTTTTCTGTTTTACAACGTGTTGAACCGTATGATGTTTTTTTTATTTCCTTTTTTATTTCTATTTAGTATGAATGTTCGTTTTGTCTTAAAACCACTTTTCTTTACTATCGTTTCATAATGATTTTTTCTTCGTTGAAAATGTTTGCTTTGAAAAAGTGTCATGTAATCTGCCGTTGATGTATTGTGGATTGTGATTTTTGTTTTAGTTAAATGTACGTGGGGGAATTATGAATAATGAGTTATCGTTTATTTTCCTGAATGGCTTTGAGTTACTTTCAGGAGACTTCTCATTTTTAGCTTTCATTTAATGTCGATTTCAAATTCGATTTCTTTAAAAACATGTATATTTCCTCTTCTGATTAAATCTGCAATTTTTTATTCTTGTTTCATAGGATTATGAGCCTATCGTCTCTCCAGACTTGTTTCCTTTTGTTAATTAATGTATGTAGTATGTATATTCCGGTCAGTTCCCAAGAGTTTTGCAACCACTTATAATAACATGATTTCTTTAACTATGCTGTTTCATTGACGAATAGAAATGGTTTTCGGTAGCGTTATTATAATTCTCCGTTGATCTGTTGTGATCTGTTGTGCATGGCTTTTGCCGAGGCAATGGGATTATCTGAGAAGGATATCAAAGATAAATGAATAGAAATTTTGAATATCAAGTTGGGGGTAGGCACAAGTTGGGAGAGGCTAGCTTTTGACTGGACCAGATCCTTCATCGGGTAACAAATATTTAAATCTCTTAAAATCCTGTCAAAAACGAACCCTGTGAATAGACACGAGTATAAAGATTTTTAGTCTTATAAAAATCAATTTTGTTTTAATTTCGAGAATAACTTCTGTTGTAGCATACTTACGGACGATAATGGATATGTCCCCATTCACATAAAAATAGTAGTAAATGCTGTATGTTGGTCTTCAGCTGTGAGAGAGGAGCCCCAGACGAGGCTATGCCGAAGGGCAGAGTCTCGTCTCGGGAAACAGTTACCCGACCCCGTTTTATACGAGGTCAACGGGAAATTCTTGACCGAGCCTACGGGCTCGGATGCGCTACATTAAATTAAGTCTTGTGCCATATCTGACCGCGTGGGTGGTTGGTAGATATCCGGCAGTTGGAGATTCATTGTGGAATTCACGATACACTTCTAGCAGTTGACTATTTGTTTTACGCACCGCTGGCACCTCTTATACGTGTTATTCTTCTCCTAAGTATTATCGTTTATTACCAACCTGGGTTTGATTATTCTTTCCTATATTACAACATCTTCAGAGGAATTCGAATTATTGTTAGCGTCAGTTCTTAACGTTGTTTTAGTTTTTTTTCTCAGTCCTTACCAAAATATTTTATTTAAACCAAATAATATATTTAATCTATTTATTCTTTTTGCATTTCCTCAAATTTATTTTATTTCCTTATCTTTCTTTTTTCTTTCTATTCATTCAAGAAACGAAATTTGTAACACTTTATTGATAGTCATCTTTGTCTATCGTTCAAATACGATATTCAAATGTAACAATGTCAAGAGATGAATAAAGATCGACTAATATACAGTTATTGAGAACACTTAGTTGCTAGTCGGCTTTGAATTGTGTTTCCATTATCCGATAATCAAGGACCCTCCCAACATCACCACCGCCAAAAAAAGGGGGATCAATAGGAGAGGAAATTCACTCATAAACACAGTTATCTAGAAAAGATTTGTTTGGACATGCGCAGTGTTTATATTTCTTTTTTGTTCTTTCACCATGAGCTTTCATTAACGATTTATCAGAGGATAGAATTACACTTCTTCGCTATATTTGTATGTACTTTTCAATTTTTATGCATTTCGTCATAAACACAGGAAAATTTGTCAACACTCATAGCAATAATCTGTTTCTATTTAAAACAACATCAAATATCGAACATTGCTCATCTTTTTTATAAAGACAGTAGTCATTAGGACATGTTCATCTTCTGGACGACGTGTTAGTGTCATTCCGTGGTGAGTACCAAAATTTTATATTGATAAAATTAACTGACACAATCCTAAAACAACAGAATACGTGACTCTATTAGTGTACATCGGGCCACATCTTAACTATTTTCCCTACGTGTTATATCAGATTTTTGTATACAGTTTTATATAATATTCTTCTCTTTTAACCCAACTATTTTTGAAGCACAAAGGCGAGTCGGAAGTCAACAAAATAATTAGTTCTTGATCTGAAAACAGATCAAGGAAAACGCGAAATAGATAATCCATTAATTGATCCAATATTGTCGGTACATTATATCTTGAGTTTCAATGAAATTTAAAACAATTAATATATTGATGCCATATCGATCAATGTTTGTAATTATATACATAACTATGTTATAATGATATGTTAAATAGATTTGCCTATTTCCCGGTTCATAATCCTCCGTGTTTTGAAAAAGAGCAGAGGTTTATCACTTGTTTCCGGTTCAGGATTTGGATTCCGTTACATTCTTAATTTTTTTAAATTTTCTCTTTCATTCCTAGAGCCCCCCTTGCATCTTAGTGGCTTTCGTGGCTTGTTTTGGGCATATTGATAAAAAAAATGATCATCTACTCACAGATTATTATTAGGATGATGTATTGACAGCGAGAAATTAGAGATTGGTCCATTTACAAGACTCCGACTTGACTAAAAGAAGAAAGGTTTCATTTTATTGAACTTCTGATTTGGTTCTGACACAAATATCCGTTCAGCGTAATATTTGAAAAAAGAAACTAAATGAAATCGGTTAGACAATATACACAGACACATAATTAAATAAAAATTTAACATGTAAAATTTCGTCATTCTTCCTCTTTCGCGCGCAGGTCTAGTTACATCTCTTTAGTCCAATGAAAGCCTAAAGTACGTATCGACTCATACGAATATTTTTTCATCTTTTTTCTAAAATAGTTTTATCTATATATTCTTTTAAAATATTATTATCTATCATAGACATTTTAATAATGTGGTTAATTCCATTGCTTTTATGTCAATTATTTTGTTTTGAGAGGGTCAGATCCTCTTGTTACGAGTATTATGTTGGCCCAGTCCTAACGATGAACGGCAGAGTCCAAGACTATGCTCTCATTGGGAAATCACAGGCTCGTTCTTTAGAAAGCTGTACAGAAATCTGCTCCCTCGATAATTCTTGTGTGACATTCTTCTACAATTCAAAGACCGGACAATGTCAGACTCACAGCATCTTGCTTCAACCGATTTATGCCGACCAAATAGATGGTAATTGGCGATACTATCAAATCTACGCAGGTAAGTGCTTCATTCATAAATTGTCGTTTTGCAAATGTTACGCGTTCTAAAAGATTAGAAATCTGTAATACAATGCGGTACATAAGGTACATTATAAGGCCAACTAAATTTTATTATAAGGCCAACTGAATTTTATTATCAGGCCAAATGAATTTTATCTTTAAACTTTAGCAATTGAGATAATTTTTAATATTTTGTATATTATTATATAGTATTAGTAATCTGAAAGTTTCAAATAACTACTATGAGTTATTGTAAAATTATTAGAAAAAAAACTCGAAAAACGTTTGGTGAATAATTATAAGGCAATTAAAAAATTTTATTAAAAAAGTGACAAACACTAAAAATTGATAGAAATTAATATTTAATTTGTTTTCCGTGATTGGCTATTACTTCAAACTCTATTTTTTATAGAATAGACTGGTTGTCGTTTTGGTTAATTGAATCCCAGGTTTTCAAAATTTCACTTTTGAGCCTTCCTTGTTATTAAATTAATGTCCATTCTTGTATACTCGTCTCAATAATATCCCCCAAAGTTCCTCAATAGGATTGAGATTGGGTGATCTTGCAGGCCAATCCATAACAATGATTCAGTTAGCTTGAAAAAACTCCATAGTGGATTTGGCTTTGTGAACAGGAGCGTTGTCTTGCTGAAACACTCAATTTTGACTACCGATTTTTTTTCCATAAAGGGAAGAGAGCAGTAGACAACAAATTCTGATGACGTAAAGCATCAAGTCTTGTGTCAGGGAAAACAATTAAAGTTTTGCCTTTAAATCTGAATGCCGTCCAAATCATGACGCTCCTTCCTTTTTGCACACGCGTGGAAAAGATCAACTTTTTTCTAAGGCCATGCCAATAATTAGATAACCCATCCGAACCGCTCAAATGATTTTTTTCCTCTGAAAATGTCACATCTTCCCATTGTTTGTCCTAAGTCATATGAGCTTTGGACCAATTGAAACACTCTGACAAATATAAGCTTCCCATAACTGAAATCAGACGATCTGTTAAGTTGCCTCCAAACACGAAACACCCAATTCAAGAGTTGTCTGGATATTGGAACACAGTGTGACGGTATTTCTTGCTTCTTTTTTGATCGCTCTGATATCCCTGTTACTTAATTTCTTGCTTCTTCCGGCTCTTTTCCTGGTTCTATATTTGTCCGTGTTTAATAAAAAGTTGTTAATGACCATTTATGAACGCTTAATCCTAACAACAATTTCTCTACTACACAAATCTTCATTTTTGAGTGCAATTATTTGGCCTTTTCCAAATTCACCTAATTTTTTAACCAAACGCATATTTTATGTCAGTTTAGTCCTAGTGAGTTATTAATAATAATTTATAAAATTTTAAGCGATTCTCCATTTAATTTTTTTTAACATGCAGTGCTTTATTTTTAAATGGCCTTATAATTATGCACCAATCTTCGTTTTTTTTCTTTTTCTTTTTTTTTAGTTTTTGAATAATTTTACAATAAGTGATTTTCTACTCATAACAATTATCTAAAAATTTCAGATTATTAATACTATATAATAATATACAAAATATTTAAAAAATAATCTAAATTACTAAAGTTTAAAGATAAAATTCAGCTGGTCTTATTATAAATCACACTGTTTTCTTATGTACGTTCATTTGCAGAATATTAAGATATTTTAACAATGATTTCAAATGTTGCAAGATACATTCTGTCTTGAAACATTGTTTAGCACAATACAATGGACCAACTTTATTAGCAGCAGACCTGGCAATTGAGTTATTATAATCTTTCCACTTTATGTCAACGGAAAGCCTTAACTCCAAGAAGGCGTAATGATTCACTCTCGTGGAGGATAGCATCAGCCATGCTGAAAGAAGACACAAAAGTTATTCTAAGACACGGTGGTCTAACACTTTTCCCTCATGGGCCAAATTAGAAAGTTATATTCACCAGGCCACAAAAGTACTTTACTTAAAACGTTCAAAACATGAATCAAAAATATTTTAATCATAAATATATATAATTACAAAACATATTGTATTATTGACCGTAAAAAAAAAAAAAAATTATAAAAGGAAACCAATGTCAAAAATCACGTTGAATTTATTTTATTTTGTCTATGTATAATTTTTTGGAGTCTGTCTATATTTCTGAGATGAGGTATTATGTACAGTATTTACATTAGTCGGACTATTGTCCTCATCTTTGTCGCCATTTTGTCACAACGTTTCGGCCGTTGTACGCTCCGGCCTTCTTCAGGTGGTAGGAATTTCGAACCGAACCCTTTATTTTCGATCACTGGGGTAGAGCTGTCCATGTTTGATGGATGTCAGTTATCAGTTATCTCCGTTTTGTTCACTAAACACACCAACGCACAGTGGATAAAGGCGTTGGTTAGATCCAGTGATAGACCCAAAGAAGGTGAGTTCAATTCCCTGGTTAAGGCAGTGGAGAACTTTCAGAGGGAAAATTAGCAGGAGATAACTGATAACTGACATCCATCAAACATGGCACGTGGAACTAGAACAGTCTACCCCAGTGATCGAAATAAAGGGTTCGGTTCGAAATTCCTACCACCTGAAGAAGGCCGGAGCGTACAACGGCCGAAACGTTGTGACAAAAATGGCGACAAAGATGAGGACAATAGTCCGACTAATGTAAATACTGTACATAATACCTCATCTCAGAAATATAGACAGACTCCAAAAAATTATACATAGACAAAATAAAATAAATTCAACGTGATTTTTGACATTGGTTTCCTTTTATAATATTGTCAATATCTGCTTTTATGGTACTTTATTGTAAGAATGTTACTTAAATAGGAATCACTCAGTCTATTTTTTTCAGCATCTCTGATATTTTTTACACACAAAAAGAATTGTTCACAGCAGTATGTAATACTCCACAAGCATAACAGTTTTCTAGATAAGCTAAATGATTTTTATTTCGCTCTGGCTCTCTGGTTAGAATTTCGTTAGCAAAAATCTATTGACTTAATATATATATATATATATATCAATAAATCTTCGCTTCTGTCCCATTTCAGAAGACTGTGCTCCCCAAGATGGCCTGGTCTTTCATAGAAAGGAAAATCTTTGTTATTTTCTCTCAAACAACAAGAAATCGTGGGACGATGCTAATCAGGAATGCATTAAAAGAGGCTTGCGATTCCTACAAATAAAAACCAAAGAATTTCAGCATATCTTTACGAAGATACTGGCGTATTCGATTCGTGAGTTTTTGTCTCTAATGAACTTCTATAATGTGTTGTGCTGTCAGATTTTATAAATATTTATTGCATGTTTTAAATTCGAGCATTGTAATCCAAGTTTTGCAAGATTCTCAAAAAAGTAGATTTTAAGCAATTAACTGATTTTTTTTTAATTCGACATTATAAATTTAGTGAGTACACGTGTTTGAGTCGTTATTCCTATTTTTAAACAGTGAAATTAAGTAAGATTTTCGATCTCTCGCCAGTTGGACATTAATTTCATTATTTTAAAAAGAGACTATTTGCTCAAACACGTGAACGTGCTAATTATAACTTTTGTAGTCATGAGGTTTCTGTCCTTTGCCGTAAGGAGGAAGTTCTACTCTGACAGTTTCTTTCTCAGAACTATAACATTGTGAAACAGACTCCCGAGATGATACTTCCTTGACAATTACAATCTTAAACTCTTCAAATACAGACTCAACCTCTATCTATCCTACAAATTCTCATAATATACAATTTTTCTTTCTTCTCATCCCCTACGCCCTAACAACAATCTCGTTCACTAACTCTTCGTATTGTTTGGCTTTTCGAGTGAGCACTAGTAAAGTAAAAATACTAAAAATTTGCTATGTATAAGCAATATTTCTGACGATTTTTTTAATTCACTGTATTGTAATAGAAAAAAATTTATATCAGCCTTTTCAAAATTCTATTGTAAATAACAGAAAATGTACCAGTGTGTTTACATATAAAGGCAACATAATATAAATGCAATCGGTTTCTGAGAAAAAAATGTCTCATTAGAAGCAGCCATAAAGTAAATGACTAAAAAAAATAATAACATTATTATAGATTTCTGCAAATTTAGACCCGGAAACATTAGTTATGATATTAATTCCCGCAGAGTTCATAATGAGTATTATTGTCGTCTGACATTCCGCAGTATTACAAATTAGACGAGTCGAATTATCTAGAGAAATCAAAATAGTCTGTTTAATTCGATGTTCTTAGCATTGCCGATTTATTTAATAAAATAAAAGAATAGAAAATTTGCTAAAGTATTATTACTAGTAGCAATAATATTAGCAGTAATACACTTACATGCATATGCATTAATTATTTATATATTAATTATTTCAAATAATTGTTAATAATATATTACATAATTACTTAAATAGTATAAATTGATCTTGTTTAATTAATTCTTATCATGAATAAAAACATTAAATGAACTTTTTTACAGCATAGTTTTCTAACCACAGGACGGCTTATCGACTAGTAATCAGCAAATGTATCATAACGTTTTTTCATTCAGGCAATAAATTTAAATGTTAATCACGTTCTCACTTTGTTCTTCGTTTCATTTAACATTTGGGAAAAGGTTTTAATTCTGACATTGAATCCATTTTGAAAATATAATATTTTAACAAGACGTTCAACCTAACTTGAATGCTACGAACAAACCCGAAAGTGAAGTTTATCAAAATATATTGTTTTTTTTTTTTTTGCTAACACATCCGTTTAGATATGCAGTAAATTATTCCTCAAATATTGCTATAAATAGGCTGTCCAATAATATGCAGCATTCGTATATGCAAGTTTTTTACCATTTTCATTTTCAATTAACTTCTTTTTTTTTTCCAAAATTGTTAAAAATGAATTCATCTCAGAAATTCAAATTAAAAATTTCACTTTCTTGATTTTCTCCAAGACGCTCCTTGGATTGATATTCTTAACTGTCCCATTGAGAATTGTACCACAAATGTTCCTTCTTGTATTAAAGGCGGCACCGATGCTTTCATACCATCTTGGGAATATTTGGTGAAACCACTATCTTCTCCATAGTTCACACCGGCCTGTTCAGCCGTTATAGTCTATAGGTATCAATTTTCCGGGTATGTCAGCGTGACAGTTCCAATCACAACAGACGCCTATTTGTTTCTGAACGTAATAATTGTAAACGTATCGTCTTTGTTTGCTAATTGATCGAGGCACCGTATAGGTTCTAACAACGGCTCTGCAATAGTGTCTTAAATAAAAGTAAGTATTCTATCCTTCCTCTCTTCCCTCTATTTGTAGGGATTAACATCTGCTTTTAAAGTAGAATATTTTGCTCGTAGATTTTCTTCAAATTCTGTTCTTCACTCATCTGGAAAATTGTTGCCTGACTTTCCAGTGATGCATATAATTCCTTCCATGGTTTCTGCTCTCATCTCTAAACTGGATCCTTACAAAGAATGTGGACCTGATGGCAACCCTACAGTATTCCTTAACTGATTCCCGTTGTCTCTAAACTCTACAATAAAATGTCTTGCTGCTTCTTGCTTTCCTACTTATTGGAATTCATCTTCTGTAGTTCCAGTCTTTAAAAACTCTGGTGAAATGTCTGAGCCTTCTCCAACGTAACCAAGAAAGTTCTTACCGTTTTCAATTTATTAGGTAAAAAAAATGTATAGGAAACTTGACATATAGTTATTCGTCAAAGTAATCCCTATTTGAATCAGAATCATTTGCCAACGTGCCTCCAGCTGTGCAATTCCCCGGCGGTAAAAAACAGGTGTCTTGGACGCAAAGATGTCTGTGAGCGTCAGCTACAAGTCTGCCTTATAGGATTTCCTACAGATGTTGTTGTCCAGGTAATGGATGAAGTGATAATCTGTTGGCGTAGTACCTGTATATTAAGCTGTATGGCACAGTGCCTCCCAGCAAAATAGCCGTATGTCGTCCCTGGCCACCCGCGCCACATGAGGCCTGACATTGTCATGGAGTAACAGTACAGGTCTAGAGTGATGGTTTAGTCCGTTGGTACATCTCTTGTCAACAAGTCCACCAGATATAGAGTATGATCTTACGTGTATGTAGAGCTGGCGAGAACTCGATCAAATATGAATACATCGAAGTACCGAGAAAGCAACGATAAACAGGCTGTTACTCGTTGTTTCTTGTTGGTTTGCGACAGTTTATGGGCTACCCACTTCCTATGCGGTGAAGGTGAAATCTGACTGCTTCACCAGAAACCTGGAAGCATTCGGTGGGCTCTCCATAGCTGTCCTCCTGCTCTGTGGTCGCCTTCAGGAACTCATCTTTCAAGACCAGTGGCAGGTCACTGCTAGGTTCATCACTGATCGTTTGGAACCAATGCCTATCGGTGCGTTCACTCACACTAACATCCCCAAAGGCTTGACGTATACAGTGACTTGATGCGGCTGCAGACAAGCTAACTTAAAAGTCATAAAGCAAACAACCCTGAGCGAGCTGCTTCGACACCGCCATGTTTCCGCATCTCGGACTGTGACAGATGTGTGTGCGCAACATACCTGCATTGGTCAAAACTATGATCCACCCACTGCTTTCCCGGCACGTGACGCACTCTTTTGCGTATCAGTGATCACCTCTCCCCATACAAAGTAAAAAAAAAACCTGTAATCATCTGAGAGACCACTTTCTGCTTTCCATCAGCATGGATGAAGCTAACCTCAAGGAGATTGATTCTTTGTGTCTTGAGAGCCAATGTTTTCTGCTGATATGAAGTGGATAGATTATATTGAATCAATTGCTAGGTCTACTGCTAGGAAAGTTATTTCACGGTGTCGGGCTAGACAATGTTTCTCCCCAGTATCTATCTTTCATATTTATTAGTCTACCATTCGTCTATGATTTGAATATTACTACTGATGTTCCTGATATATATATATATATATATATATATATATATATATATATATATATATATATATATATATATATAAGATTCTTGATAAAATCCAAAGAAGAATCCGTAATGTTAATGGTCCTGTCCTGGCATCTCGGCTTCAGCCACTTTGCCGCCGCCGAAATTTAGCGCTCCGGTGCCTTTTCTATAAATATTTCTATGATAATTTTTCTGATGAGCTTTCTTCTGTGGTACCTAGACTTTATGAATTTAAGCGCAGTACCATTTGGAGGCACGGTGGAGTAATGGATAGCGACTCGAATTGAGGAATCGGAGAGCCGAGTTCGAATTCCAGTCGAATTCATTATATTCACTTATGTGCTTGGGAAAGGTATGAATCTTCTCTCCCCCGACCTATGGGTAAATAGCAGCACAGGCAGGTTTCTATAGCCTTGGATGGCAAATGGTCTACTGCAGTAAAAAATGGCAACCTACTGCTGGAAAAAATCTGCCTCGTCAATCGAAAGATTCATGATCACGGATGACACGGATTGACCATATTGATAACAAGGTATTATTTTACAGTTGAAATTGCGAGATGTAATCGTAAGTTCTGTGTTTGCAGTTTTTTCTCTCACGCTTCGCTTCCGGTTTCTAGGTTGTGAGTCAACTTTGATCTTCAAAAATATAAATGCATTGCCCATTTTTATTTACCTTCTTAATTCCTCTTCTTTTATTTTTCTCCCGCCTTAATAATAATTTTTCTTTACCTATTTTTCCACACTCAGTAACACCTTGTGTCTTAGTAGCTTTATTGCCTTGCTTGGGGTGAAATAATCGAAAAAAATTTAAATTTTTTTCCACTTTTAATGATTATTTTTTAAGGTCGAATTACATCCATTCCCTTCGTATTCAATTTGATAAGAAGGAAATTACACACAAGCAGCTTCTTCACAAAAACCGCCATTTTTAGAAGAGACGCCCGAGAGGATATTTCCCTGAGCACTATAATCTGAACCGTTCTAAGAGTGGCTCTTGGGTTACCATTTAGTAAAAATAAGTAATTTCAGAAATTTGGATGCTATCTTTCACTTTAGTTTCATCTATTTTCCATTTTAATGTTGACTGTTTTTCTTTTTGCTTTGCATGTTGTTTCTATTCTCCTTTAAAATCTGTTTTTCTTTTCGAATTAGCTTTACATTTGACATTGGTATCATGTCAAATATATTAATCATTTTTTTCTTCTTCTAGAACATTCAGACTACGTTGGATGCTACAAAGACACGATTCATCGAGCCTTAGCAAAACATATCGGAAGTTTTTCTAATATGTCCATTGCTATATGCAGGGACAGATGCCGCCAGAATGGCTATAAATATGCAGGCCTCCAAGTAAGTATCTTAACATTGAGTGAGTTTTTAAAGTCCCTTGAAGTTTATTAAAAAAAAACAGTAAAAAATTTCTGAAGTACGCCATAACGAGTACAAAAATGATATAAAGATCATCTGATTCGAGAATGTCAAATGATATATAGCAAACTTAACAATTAGTCGTCAAAGTAATCCCTGTCGGAAGAAACTTTTGCCAACGTTCCTCCAGCTGACGGTAAGACTCAGGTGTCTCATGCGCAAAGATGTCTGTGAGTATCTGCTACAAGTCTTCCTCATTTGCATAGGATTTCCTGCGGATGTTGCCCAGGTAATGGCTGAAGTGATAATCTGTTAGCACAGTACTCGAGGATTAAGCTGTACTGCCGCAGTCATCGAGGCTAACGGCGAATTCATCAAGTAGATGCGTCAAGAAGTATTTCAAGATTATTTATGCTAAGTATTTCTCAAATAAGTCTCTTCTTTTATGAATTTTGCGTCTTTTACAAAATTCATGCAAATGTCTTCAAACGACTGAGTAACCCTATATACGCCTAAATTAAGATTGAGGAAGTCAATATATGATATAATATTATATCATCTTACTTATTATAAAACCCAGGTTGTGTGTGTGTGTGTGTGTGTCTGTTCGTTTATATATTGGGTCGGATTTCCTACATTTTTCAACCGATTTCAACAAAACTTCACAGAACTACGTAAAATTACCTTGCGGTGGTTCTGACAACGCCAAAAATTGGAAAAACACAATTGTCTTTGCACAAAATCAATTTGAAAACATGATTAAGAGGCATCGCTGAAAGGGAAGGGGGACAACTCATATCGAGTTATACTTATTATAAAACCCAGGTTGTGTGTGTGTGTGTGCGTGTGTGTGTGTGTTCGTTTATATATGGGATCAGATTTGCTACATTTTTCAAGCGATTTCAACAAAACTTCACTTTTTGGGGGCAGGTAGTGTTTCTTATAAGTATGATTCTATTCAATCGGTAGACTCATAACGATTGAAAACAATGTTTTTGTTTGAGTTTGGGTTTGACCAATTCGTAAAAAAAAAAAACTAATTAAGACATGCGTGTCCGTCAACCTTAAACAATAATCCTTGTCAATTTTATTTTTCAGTCTTTATGATGGTCGATACTTGATCTATCTCTTACTGTTACATCCCTGGGCAACGCCGGGCTCTACTGCTAGTATAATATAAAAGAAGTGGTTGGATAAAGATGTCCCGAGTGAATTTAATTTTATTATTTCATCACTATGCCTTTTGTGGATCGATAAATTTTACACGAACGCTCGTCGGCCACAGAAACGGCCAATATTCTTTTTGCAATTCACGCTTATGCGTCGAGGTTAACCAAAGGCACGCTATCAGTAATCAGATGAGGATACTGTTTGGCTTGCTAGATGAACCCCGTCACATTGACTATGCATTTTGAAGGAGAACTCTAGTTAGATGTTGATTATCGACATTTTTTCTGGTTCATTTATCTTTTTATTTTCTGTATTTTATTATTTATATGACAAAGTGGAAAAAGTTTACTTGTGATGCATTTCGTCCTTCAGGACTTCATTGCACTAGACTTGTTATGTTGGTAAGACTACACATTCTGCTGATAAAAAAAAATAAAATTCCCAGCATCCCTCTGTTGTGCGCATGTGTAGTCCTATCAACATAACAAATTTAGTCCAATGAAGTCCTAAAAGTCGAAACGCGTTACAAGTAAACTTTTCCACTTTGTCATAAAAATTTCCAAACACACACACACACACACACACACACACAAACATATATATATATATATATATATATATATATATATATATATATATATATATATATATAGTATTTTCTCGACAGTGATAATTAAATCTAGTTTTGCACATATTTTCGAAATTTTTGAAAAGGCCATGCCCGAACAGAATATATGCAAGCATGGCTCTACACAGATACCTTTTCTTTATTATCTGGGAATTGCTATGACTTCTTCGGAAAGATGGTGTCAAGGTTTCCTGTTACATTCTTCACGGTTTGACATTCAGTCTACCCACTTTTTAAACTCCATCTACTGCTACGGAGCCCAGTCTACCCTACTATTTAAACTGGAGTGGAAGGAAAAGGTACGAATTCATTGCATTTCCAAGATAACATATACGAAAATGAACGCAAAAGGCTGTTCCAGAATTTGAACATCTGACAGTAGTCAATATCAATTGAATTTTTATATATTTTTTTCTTTTGTTCTCTACTGCAGTGTAAAATTCGAGTGATATTTGCTTTGTTTCAGCGAAGAAGTTACTGTTTTTGTGGTGATATTGGTTATGACAAATTTGGTGAATCTACAGGCTGTGTAGAAACTTGTACTGGCAACAGAAATGAAATATGTGGTGGAATATGGGCCAACTCTGTGTATAAAGTTGGAGGTCAGTCATTTTTTATACTAACTTCACTCAAGGTAGATACTTACTGCTGAAAGGGTTAAAACAAAGGGGCTGTGTGATATGAATAAAAGAGGCAGTGGTAGGAATAGAAAACGCTTGACCATTGAAATATCTGTCCGAGTGTAAACTTCTCCTTGCATTGGGAATACGGAGGAAATTAGGGTGATTCGAGTCCGAGGAAGTTTTATAGCGTGTGCCAGTTGTAATGTTTTTTAACTGCTAGAACAAAAGAACAGAGCTCATGTGAACAGATATATACTTTGGAAATAATGACAGATTAACCATAGGTTTTTAGAAATTGCATCTAAGAGAAACAGACTGCAGAGTTGATGATAATAAGTCTCCCCATCAAAAACAAAAGACCATGATTTTGAACTCTGTCATGGCTAAGAAGAAAGCATTGAGGTTCTGCAGTCCAGATGCGCCAACAGTTTTTGATTTTGGATCTAGTCTGAGACTTTAGAATTTAAAATATGGCAGAATAACCAAAAACGTATTTGAACGATAAAATGAGCAGACAATTTTTTAGGAATCTTCATCAATGGATCCTATGGAATTCTACTTGATGTCCAGAGAGAATTTGATTTCTGAAATCAGTATTGAGGTGCTGCAGTTCAGATATGCCAACTATTTTCAATTTTGGATCTAATCTGAGACTTTGAAAGTTAAAATATGGCAGAAGTAGCCAAGAACATATTTGAATGATAAAATGAGCAGACAAGTTTTCAGGTATCTTCATCAATGGATCATTTGACATCTGCTCTTCTCTCCATTCTCGCCAACTTGTTTCACCTTTTTTTGGATAGGCGTGTGAATGGCGACGAAAAATAGATCTTTTATCGAAATGTTAAGCGTGGCTTGGTAAAGGGGAAGGACCCCAGTCACAGCCAAGAAAGGAACTTCATGGGCAAAAGGTTCTCCTTTCAATCTGGTGAGATCGCCAAGGAATAATCCACTTTGAATTCTTACCACCTAATGCAACAATTAATGCTGAAATATACTGTCAGCAATTAGAGCGTTTGAACCAAGCTTTGAGGAAAAAAAGACCTGCTCTCGTGAACTGAAAAGAGGTGATGTTTCATCAGGACAATGTGCGACCACACACAGCAAGAATCACGTCACAAAAGATTGGTTGGGAGAAAATTCCTCATTCACCTTATTCTCCCGATCTTGCTCCTTCAGACTACCATTTGTTTCGTAGCTTACAGAATAATTTGGAAAAAACAGTTTTTGTAACACAGGAAGAGGTTAAAACTGACATTTGTGAGTTCTTCGAATCAAAGCCAAAAGAATTTTACAGTAATGGAATTAGTAAGCTTGCTGACAGATGGAAGGAAGTTATAGATATTCAGCGAAAATATATTGTTGATTGAATCTGTAATTAAATGTAACATTTGGTCACTTGTTTTCTTTATTCAAAATTCGGACAGAACTTATGAGATGACATGATAGTTATATTTATTTTGCCTTGTTTTATATTTAGTTTGTTTGGGCTCTCATCCCCGCCCTCTCATTGTCAAATATCTATATCTATATGTCAATATCTACGACATATTTACTATCATTAAATTTTGAAATCTCGGGGTACGTTTTGTAGGTACCCCCTGAGAGGATGCGGTTTTATGGTGTATGGAGGATTGATTGGTGACGGACGAGTTTTTTGTTTGAATGAGCAAATTGTAACAAGTGAATGGGTCATGAATCGGATGAACTAGGTATAAGATAGTGAAGACCAGCCTGAAGCCCTCCCCCTTTTCGGCCTTGTGCCACAATTGTATTTTTAATACAATAAATATCAATATTATACGGCATTATATTTCAATGGTAATTAAATTGTTGAAGGGGTGATTACCTTTCCCTCTTAAAATAAACGGCAAAATCAATAAATCCTAGACATTGCACTGAAAAAGAAATTGTCCATCGATTCAGTCAGGGGTTCTCAAATGGTGCGCCCGGACACAATTATGAGCCCTGAAAGGTAATCAGGCGCACCGCAAGTAGAAGATTAATCGATGAATTATTAAGTTTTTTTGTTTTGTTTTTAATGCTATAGACACCAAGTATATTACTTCCATATCTAAGTTTCAATTGATGACGTTGACTCATCGTTAATAGAAGATGAGCTGATCCCTATAATGTCTGATCGTGGCTTACAAATTAAGCGGAAAGAAGTGGCCATTGATCATTTTTGGACTTCCTTAAAGAACATCCTTTAATAGATGGTAAAGCGTTGAATATTTTATCGCAACTTTCTACAGCATTCCTCTGTGAATTAGCATTTTCTTCACTTGCCAACATTAAATGCAAAACTATATCAAAGTGTATTAATGTGGTAGTGATTTTCCAAGCGTAGCTTAGATGTGGCTCAAGGCCGAATGTATGGGACACCCAGTAAGGATCGAACTCACTACTCAGTCGTAATTGTTCTAGCGGGATAAGCTTGCTAACTATTACATCGCCTCGGGAGTGCCCAAAGTGCATTTATGAGGTAAACAGAGTATGTTTTTAACATATAATACTCAACATTAAAAGAATTGCCAAACACATCAAGTACAACTACATATAGAATGTAATGTCCTCAAAATAAATGCTTATATGAGGAGACTTGCTTTAGCGCCATACTTTCTAGCCAAATTTGATATTCAAAAATTTAAATGCAATGTCAATAGTTATTTACTGTCTTCTTGATTTCTCTTCGATTGTTCTCGCTCTTTAATAAGGCTTCCCTTTTTACTTATTCTTTTGCGCCCCAAAACACCTTGTGTCTTAGAAGCTTCACTGATTGTATAGGATGACATGTGTTTCGTTTAAAAAAAAAAGCATACTGATGCGGCATTTACCCTGGGCGGATTGAGCCGCTTCTTCCTATTATGAGAAGAAGATTCTTGGGATAAATTACAGAAGTTGGGTACCCAGGCCTACTCGGATAACGTTCTTGCTTGCCGCGGGGTTCCCACAGACGCAGAGACAGGAACAGCCAGAAGCCGCCGGTTACCGATGCAGACGCTCCTTGGATTTTCACCAGAGCCCTTGTTAGCCGGCGTGTGTGTCAGACCTGTCCGCCTTGGGTGGCCCTACCAGGAACGAAGTTCCGGGCGGCATAGCTCTGACACTACCGTTTACACCCCCACCCCCACCGACTATGAGGTAAGGGTTGGACTTTGGGAGCTTACAGTACCAGGTGTTCCCAAGCGGTCCCCCATCTAAGTACTGACCTGGCTCTACGATGCTTAACTTCTGTGATCGTACGAGAACCGGTGTTTCAGCGTGATTTGACCGTAAGCTGATACTTAGATATAGGACTTAATGACTTCTTTATTATTTTCCTATTCTCATGACTAATTTTTCCTCGTTTAAATTTAAAGTGCATCCTAGTGTCTGAGTTATTCTTCAGATGTAAAAAAAAAAAGATTGAAAAAGGCTTCATTTTCGGTCATTCTGTATTTAGGCATATTCTATGCAAAAACTGCTAATATACTAATTAATTACTGAACAAGACTTAAGTCCACTGCCCTATAAGGATTTAGCAGCTTCATCTCAGATATGGCTTCAATTATTCACTATTTTTTGTTTAATTTGTCCCTTGTAAAGATAAAGCATGGTAGATGTAGGCATGTACTTCTGGAAGTGATAGAATGAGCAGACCATTGTAAAAGCACGGGAATCAGATCAGACCAAAAAAAGGAGTATTGCTGCTACAACTGGACTGGAAATTGCCTCACTTTCCAACCTCGACAGAATTCGCGGACTTGTGGGTGATGAATTGTTTTCCACTGTTCAACCCTTTTCCGAGAGGCGAAATATTGTTGGCTAATCTGTAGCAATTTTCATTACACGTGTTCGCATGATCTACATTCCTTGCATACACCTGTCAAGACCTTGAAAGCGAGGATCTGTCATACTATCAGTCGACCCCTACCCATTTCCTTCATATTCCATCAGTGAAGATGAAGTTTCATTCAGATAGCTGTTTTCCCATGAGTTTACAAAAATCTCATTTAGTAAGCCTCTAAAGCAACTGCTTTGTATCGAGTGAACATCAGTAAAAGTAATTTTCTTCTCCCTTCACCTATAGGTTGAATAGTGTCGTCTGGATTCTATAGACTTCGTTCGCAATCAGTGTGGAGATGATGGCTTGATAAAAACAATTACTATCTAGTAGCTCATTCCACTCTTGGGGATATGTAAGGCCCGTGAAAATGCGAATTGTCTAAGGGTTTTAAATCATGTTAGATGCGCAATTTCCCGTAGGCGGAAATAGCGTTTATTTTTAGTCTCTTCGTATAAACCGTAATAGTTACAGAAACTGAATGGAATTCATTTTTTCTTTTGCTTCTTTTTCTTAGATTTCTGTTATATCGGCTTAAGAAACGAAAACGGTATCAATAAATGGAGTGACGACCAGCTTTTAACCGGCTATTCTGATTGGGTGACAACGAATCCTTTAAATCTTAATGACTCCTGCATCTATCTCGACCCTCTGCGCGACTATAAATGGAATAAAAAACCCTGTTCAGATGAACTGTACTTCATGTGCGAAAAGGTGTTAAAACGTCCATAGAACGGCAGCGATTTGAATCAATTATCTGCTTTGTATTTTTGTCTGTCTATGAATCGTATTTTTAAAACAGTATTCTTTCTCTGGCGGCGAGGTTTAGAATAGAGATGAGCAAACACAATAAATATTTATCTTCTTACTCCGGTGTAAACTGAAAGTATATTAACCATTTTGACTCAAGTGTAAACCAGACTTGTATCTAACTGATGATAAGTAAAAACAATTACACGTAACTTTAACTTAATAAATAAATAAAAACGACACAATGCCAAGAACTGTCACAGGAAGACTCGTACAAGAGATATTCAAATATTTTCCTGAAACTATAATAAAAATATAGAAAAAAATTAAAATAAAAAGTCCTACACAAAATCTTTTGTTAATCTTTAAACAAAATTGTGCATGTATATATATATATATATATATATATATGTGTGTATGTGTGTGTGTGTGTGTGAGTGTGTGTGTGTATTTTTAAAGTGGACATTGAGGTCAACACCCAGCGGCGACAGTCTTTTTCTCGTTTAAACGCAATCTTCAGTGCCTGATGATTGCGTTTAATTCTGAAACACATTATCACTGCTGAGTGTTGACCTCAATGTCCATACGCTCTATTCCTGAGCACTTTAACACATAAATATAACATACCTTGAAACTATATTTTTATCATATATATATATATATATATATATAATACTCGTAAAACAAAAACTGCAAAGAAATAAAATTAAATAAAAGAGTTGCAAAATATTTTCTCGTCTATTATATTTAGTGAAACATGTATGAAGAAGCATCTCTCTCTCTCTCTCTCTCTCTCTCTCTCTTTCTCCCGATATATATATATATAAATATATATATATATATATTTTTTTTTAAAAGAAAAACAGACCACTTAAAGGTACCATTATAATAATTTATTTCACCAGAGCCCTTTTAAAGGACGCTGGATCATCAGATAGCACTTCCAAAATGAAATTTCATATCTCTCTCAAGCATACATACATACATACATACATACATATATATATATATATATATATATATATATATATATATATATATATATATATATATATATTCACTTACCAGCAGCACGACTTGTGAGCTTTCATGCACAGTGCAATCTTCAGGGCTGAACTGGGACTGACTGTTACACAATTTTAATATTTTTATGTAAATATCAGATTATTGTATTGGTAGCGCAGATCATATTATATTCGGGGATTGTTATAAAAAAAGATTTCGAATTAAAATAAACATAAATCTAAATAAAAAAAAACTCATCCACACAAATTACTTACTTCAAGTTAAAAAGTTAGGATTATTAAAATAAAGATATACATCTAATTAATTATATAAAAAAATATAATACATTGTCCTTCGCTAATATAATGACAGATCTACATATGTAAATTATTATAGATATTTATAAAAACATATAGTTGCATATAAAAAAAAAACATTAAAAAAAAAGTTATAGTCACATTTACAAAAATATACTAAATCAAGTCAATGTTTATTTACACATCATCATGTCTTATAAAAAATTCACATGAAAAAAAATAACCAACACATACATATAAGTAGACATAAAGTAAATAGTGCAAGCGAATATACTGAGACACAAAAAGGTAAGAACACACACATCCCCAAAAATCACACACAAAAAAAATCACAGTATAGTAGGATCAGTTGGATACCGTCTGTGAAAAAAAACTACCATGGCGGATTACACTGTGCGAAAAGTTTGGAAACGGAATTCTATACTGCTTGGCTTTCGCGCCTGACGCTCCAATACGTACATTTCAGAGTATTTGAGCGTCAATCTGAGAACAGTGCAGAGGATTCGGCAAGAGTTGGATGAGTCTAATGCTGATTACTAAGGTACAGCCGATCGTTCTGATAACAAAGAACACCCAAGTTTGTTGGTGAGGGCTTCAGACTAAACACGGAGGCCTACATCATGTGCCTTGAAGAGGTAGTGCTGTTCTAGGTCAAGAGGATGGCTGCTGGATAATCCTATGCCTGGAAAAAAGAACTCTGCACCATGCCATACAATCAGTAGATCCTAATCATGGCTCTCAGACAATTTCTGCGACCACAACACCCCTTACATCTAGCCAACTAACTTCCCAGACTGCAACGCCTTGATTGTTATGTGTAGGGCGCATTTGAGCAAGAAACCAGCAAAACTCCTTGTAACACTAAAGATGAACTGAAGGCAAGGATTATGGCAGCATTCACCAAACTTAAACAAGGATGTAGAAAATTCCGAAACCGTCTTAAGGACGTGGTTGAAGCTAATGGCGGGTTTACTGAATAAATTTGCTCTTTATTATTTCATATTTTTGTGTAATTTTGTTAAATATATCTGTTAAAATGATATGTCAGTGTTATTTTAATTTTTACGTAATTTAGACTGAAATTTATCCATCGCACCCTATATATATATATATATATATATATATATATATATACACCAAGTATATAATTGGTATATACGGAATGAATTCCAAGAACCAACAATTATTATTCTTAAAAGAGTGCTCAATACAAAGTAGAGCAGATATAATTAGTTTTTATAAAAAAAATTTATAACATAAATATGTTATAAAATCACTACAAAAATAGCCATTTTGTTTCAACACACTCTGTGTCTTATCAAGTGATGATGTTGAAAATAAAATAAATGGTTTTAAAAGTTTCAGATTAATTAACGATCCTACACTAGGGGGAAACATTGTTACAAAAGCTAGAATAACCAATCAAAAACCAAGTATATAAAGATTCAAAAGCTTGATAACGAAATCATGTTATAATAGCTATTCAGATCTTTAAAATACGTGTAATATTAAAAATAATATATACTAACCAATAATTATAAAATTATATGATAAAATGTAATATTAAAATTAAAAACTGGCAATTTTAAAATCCAAATTTAATCACTATTAAGTTTAAAAACTACAAAATTATTGAGAAAAGAAAAATATATATGTTTATTCAATTCATTTCTTCATGGCTATTTTTGTAGTGATTTTATAACATACTTATGTTATAATTTTTTTTATAAAAAATAATTATATATATATATATATATATATATATATATATAAATGAATGCGAAATTGGAGCTCAATTCTCTCACGAAATCTGGGATTAAAAGGACACAAATCTACTTTATACTAATTTGGTATTTACTCGAGTCCCCCACGAGGTCGGTTGTGACACAAAGTCGGTTTAATGTGAGGAGCCCGAGCGCATGCACCCGGGCATGGAACAAAAATGTCCCGAGCCCCAACAACTGTCGTTTGCGCTGGCCTCGGTGCGTGCACCGATCCTTCTCTCTAGTGCAATGAGAAGTTGTCAAATATGGAACAGCTGCAGATGAATTTCATGCCTGCCTGAAAAGTTTTTATCTGTGGGATCATATTGAAAGACGCCTTTTGACCACTAATATGAGAGTGGATCTCAATGAAGATGGTACAGCAAAGGAATTTAGTGATCTCCTTTTAAAAATTGGAAATGGAAAAATTTCACATGATCAAGATGGACAAATCAACTTTCCTGAGGTTCTCGGCACTCTGCTCGGGAACATTGAGAAATTAATTTTTAAAGTATACCCCAATATAGCAGATAACTTCTATTATACATATTGGTTGTGTGAGAGAGCAATTTTAGCTCCCGTAAATGAAACAGGACAGTTCCATCAATTAATTCTACAATATATCCCAACAGAAGAAAGGACGTACCTATCCAATGATACAACTGTGGATCCAGAAAATGTTACTTCACTTGTTGGAATCTCTTATTATAACTGGTCAAGGGAAAGGAGAGACTGTAGTAATTCCAAGAATTTCATTGATTCCAACAGATATGCCTTTTGATTTTAAACGATTGCAGTCAGAGTAAGTTTCGTAATGTCTGTTAATGAATCACAAGGTCAATCAATGAAAGTTTCTGCACTTCAGCTTCACCTTATGCAACCATGCTTTTCTCATGGTCATTTATTATATTATGAGTCACACCACCCCACTCCTGACAGCACGTCGCACTTCCTCTTCATGTTGACGGTTGGACTTGTGTTATAACGGAACATTACCTATTCTATTGTAATAGACTCTCCCACACACAATAAGTAGTAGTAGTAGTACCGGTCGCCAGTTGGGCTCAGTGGAGTTGAGTGAGTCAGTCGATGTCGGACATTAAAGTATGAGCCCCACAACTAGATTGCTGCGTCATTAACTATTATTTCAAATTCCTAACGTTTTGTACGTCGAACCTAATTTAGGACCGACTTAGTGAAATACAAGCCTCCACTGTGAAAACTACTCTACAACAACTTGATCCCCCACCACGGATGGTCCTATGCCAGGAAGGCCGATTTGCAGCAACGGTTTCCCAGGTCGCAGTGTCAATGTCGGTCTATGCCATGGATGTCTTCAACTGATCCTTGAAGCGTCGTTTTGGGAATTTGGTCATTTGGGAGTGATGTCCGAAAGAGGATCTCGTTGTTGGTGAAGCGATCCTCCCAACCGAAGTGAAGGATTCTTCGGTGCTTTGTTTCCTGAAACAGCTCCAGACGATACAAACTTCAGATCTCGCAGGCGTACAGAGGAATGGAAAACTATGATTTTGATTCTTATAGTGAGACCGTGATTGCTGATGGTCTGGTATGATAGCGTTCCGTACGCAGTATGTCCCGCTTTGATCCTGCTGTCAAGGGTTCCCTCTCACAGGAGATATTATTCGAGAGGACGCTGTCAAGGTACTATCATTCATCGACGACTCCTACCAGCTATATGTCGATGTTCATAATGAAGTCCTGAGTTGCAAGTCTGGGGACCGGCTGAATGAGAATCTTTGTCATTTTGGCATTGATCTGCGTCCGGAAGTGTTTGTAGGCATCGTTATACCGGTTTTCCAATCTCTGGAGGTTGCATTGTTGTCAGCATACTGAAATTCTCGCACACGGGTGACGGTACTCCTTGTCTGAAAACAAAGTCGGGAAGTGTCCGCCATCGAATCTGTATCGGATGTCAATACCAGTACTGCGAGGCGGGGATCTCGTAGATCGTGATAGCGTGATAAAGGGAGAAAAGTTTCGAAGCTCACACGCAACCCTGTTTAAGGCCACCGGAGTTTAGAAACGGGTCCGAGAGGAGACCTCGTTGGTTCACCCGGCCCTCCATTAAGTCGTGGAGCATACGGATTAGCGACACGAAGGGATCCGGACAGTCAAGTGCGCCAGTTTGGCTCACATTAGTGGTCTTGAGACTTTGCCAAAGGACTTCCGGATATCCCAGATGAACATCAATGGTTGTTGCTGCTCACAACTCTTCTCCTGTAACTGTCGCACACAGTAGACCATATTAGCAGTGCTCCTCGAAGGCCGGAAACCACAGTGGAATCTGGAAGGATCTCTTCTGTCTCGGGGAGGAGTCGATTCAGTAAAATCCGGCCAAAGATCTTGCCAGCGATGCTTAGGAGGGAGATGACACAATAGTTTCCGCTGGGTCTCGTTTTTTTTTTTTTTTTTTGAAGATCATCAGGGTGTTGGCGTTTTTAAATCCCAGATTTTATGCATCAGGAGCATTAGCCGGCCTTTCAGTTCGAGGCCACCGTGGGAGAAAGATTCAATGTTTTTTTTTTCGTTATTAGTGTTTGAGATACACTTTTCCATACTGCACGAGAATTTATAAGCAACATTGTTTTTACATAACGGCAATATTCGAGGTCCTGTGTTGGCTAGCCCTGGGATGACGATAAACTACATCGGCAGCAAGGTCACTGACCGAGAGGGTGGAGAGGGTGAAAGCACTTTTTAATTACCGTTGTTCCCAGGTCCGACTTGATTCAGGTTGGTAGCAACTGTTAGGTTCCCAGTTACGGTCAAATAGTGAACCCCCAAATAAAACAACCTTATGAAAGTATAAAAATGCATATTAATAGCAAAATGACCATCAATTCACTTTTATATAAACAATTACCAAGGATACATATCTAAAGTAAAATTACCAACAATACATATGTATTGTAAAATTACCAACATAACAATTTTAAAGCAAAATGACTAACAATACATTTTATATTGAAATATATCAACCATATATTTTATAGTAGAAATATCAACAATATATCCTATAGCAAAACGACCAACGATACATTTTATCTGTAGTTAAAGGGATACAATTGCGTTTAAAGTATATTTAGTTGAAGCCATAATATTGTATTCAAAATATTTAGATTTCGTCATTAAATAATCCATGCACTGCAAAATGAAATCGACCAACCAACACGAAAGAAATTTCATGGCATTAATCTATATAATATCCTATAATTTATTATATCAGATTGTATCCCAAAATAATTTTTAAAAATGCAACATAAAACGCCTATATCACCACCACTAATAGTTATGTCCACACAAACTTGTATATGTGCGAAAGCTGGCCATTATCTACCATGTATTCAATTGCGAAAGCAGAATAACATATTTTTATTACTTCAAATCTCAAACAAATCAATCAATCAATCCGGTGTTTGTAATGACTAGATTAGATGTGATAAATAAACAATAAATATTAAGTATCTATTACAATAATAGTATTTACCAGCGAACTATATTTTTAATAGCTTTTCCCTCTTGTTACATGAGAAGTTAATGATGTTTTTATCGGATTACCCGAAAAGCGCTCTGAATGGATGATTTTTATCCATTCCCACCATATATAAAGTTTCATGATGTTTGCACGAAAACTGTTCTATTTACTACGGTTCGTTGTGATATTTCCGTTTGACCAATCTCTCTCGCGGGCCTGTGCACACGCATTTTTATTTTGTACAATGAGTAGAATTGATTGATTTTTTTATCTACTCTTTGTTTTTTCATTGGTCTATTTGGTTTGAATTTTAATTTTGCCTTAAAACCAATTTTCTTTATGATCGTTTCCTAATCGCTTTTTCTTCATTAAAAAGTCTTCCTTTAATAAATTTTCAGATAATCAGTGGCTGATGGATTGTGAATTTTGATTGATTGTCGTAGGTAAATCTGAGGAAGAGTAATTTATGAATACTGAGCTGCCATTTTGTTTCCTGAATGGTTTAGGGCGGGGAAATTACATTAAGTAAATTTCTAGCATTTTATATTTCATTTAATAACGATTTCAAATTTCATTTCTTTAAAAATATTCCTAATTCCTTTTCTAGTTTTTCTTTTCTTTTTTTTCATAGGATTATAAGTTATCGTCTCCACAGACTTGTGTCCTTTTGTTAATTAACTTAGCTAGGGTATGAAGCATGTATATTCCAGCCTGTTCGCGTGTTTATGCTCCATCATAGCTTCACATGATTACATCAGCTGTTCCCTCTCGACCATTTTTTAATCATGCTGTTTTATTGTCGAATAGAAGTGGTTTTCGTTAATGTTTTTATAATTCTCCTTTGATCTGTTGTAATCTTTGTGTATTCCTTTGCCGAGGTGATGGGTTTTTTCTGACAAAGACTCAGAGATAAACGGATAGAAATTTTGAATACCAAGTTACATGAATGCACGAGTTAGGAGAGGTTACCTTTTGATTCTACCAGATATTTCTTTAGGCGAGAAATACTTAAATCGCTTAAAGAAATGGAAAAAAAAAACATGTAAAAATATAAAGATATACTTGTACGCAAGTATGAAGATGTGTTGTTTTACAAAAACCGACTTCGGTTTATTTTCGGAAATAACTTCGTAGACAGAAATTCGGATTATTGTTAGCATCAGTTCTTAACGGTGTTTAGCTTGTCTTTTCTCAGAAATTCAAGAAAAGAGTCCTTCCTAAAATATTTTATCCAGACTGTGTAATACATTTAATCTATTAATTATTTTTTTGTATTGATTTTCTCTTGCGTTTATTTCCTTTTCTTTCAATTCATTCATTCAGGAAACGAAATCTGTAACAGTTCATTGGTATTCATCTTTGTCTATCGTTCAATTATGATCTTCAAATGTAACAATAATAGGTAAGCATGTCAGTCGATGAACAAGGATTAAATTATATGCAGATATTGCGGACATTTAGTTGGTAGTACGCTTTGAATTGCGTTTGCGTTACCTGATAATCAATGAAAACAAAAAAAGAAAGAAATTAATCACTGAGAAAATTCATTCACCATAGCCAAACCCTACTATCCAGATTAGATTTGTTTGGACATGCGCAATGTTTATATATCCGCTATGATTTTTTTTTTTTTAAATTTTTTCATCATCAGCTTTCATTAGCGTTTTATCAAGCGATGAAATCACACTGTATCATTATAATCGTATGGACTTTCCGGGGTTTTATGCATTTCGTTATCTACACAGTAAAATTCGTCAGCACTCGTAGCAATAATATGTTTCCATTCAAAACAACATCAAATGTCGAAAAATGCTCGTCATCTTTTCATGAAAACAGAAACCTTTAGGCTATCTACAGCTTTTGGAAGACTTGTTAGTGTCAACGGAAATATTAGAAGGGTCATTTCGTGGTGAGTACTAAAAGAAAGATATCCTGATCTTCCTTCATCAATATTCACGACTATATTAACTTAATTGACACAATTTAACATAATAAATTACATAACAATATTAATTTACATCAGGCCATATTTTAACAGTTCTCCTTACGTGTTTATATCAGATTTTAGTATATAGTTTTAGTAAAATATTCTTCTCTTTAAGACCGCCCCTTTGAACCATATAAGATTGTCGGATATAATCCAAATAATTAGTTATTTATCTGCGGACAGATAAAAAAATGCGAAATAGATAATGCATTAATTAATATAATAGTGTTAAAATATTACAACCTGATTAATAAGGACAAGTCAATAATTAATATATTAAATCTCTACTGACTAACTTTTATTTCATTAAAATAGTTTCTATACTAATTTTTGCACAGTACCAAGATTAGTGATATTTTTTCGCGTAGAATTTTAATATTATCTTTTTTATTAAAAATGATTTTTATATTGTTCATCGTTCAAAAGTTTTTTTCAAGTGTTACTATACTAAGCAAAACAAGTCAATCGATTAACAATGATTGAATGTGTTTGTAATATCCGTAATTTGCGGTCATTTCGTTAATATCAAGCAATATATTTTGTTTATTTTAAGCGTATTCAATGAAAACAAAAGCGAGGGTTTATTTATTTACTCTATCCAAATCCATCTACACAGATTAAATCCGCCTGCACATGCGCAATGTGTACATAATTTTTTTTTTATTATTGATCAATATACAATGAGCAGATTTGTCATGTGGTTATTTATATTGCTTCTGGTTCAATTATTTTGTATTGAGAGCGTCAGATCCATTTGTCACGAGTATTATGCTGGCCTCGTCCCAACAATGAACGGCCGAATTCAGGACTATGCTCTCATTGTAAAATCACAAGTTACTTGTTTAGAAAATTGTGCAAAAATCTGCTCGCTGAATACTTCTTGTGTGACATTCTTCTACAACTCAAAGACTGGACAATGTCAAGCGCACAGTATCTTGCTTGAGCCGAATCCTACGGACCAAAAAGATGAGAATTGGCGATACTATCAAATCTACTCAGGTAAGATCTTCATTTATAAACATATTATGTCGTTATGGAAAATATTACAGTTTCTAAAAGATGAGAAACCTTTAACTCTCGCACTTAAGTTCATTTGCAGAACATTTTAACAATGATGCAAAAAAAAAATCATCGTTTATAATTTATTTTGCTTTACAAGCAAGCATAAAAATTCTTTAGACACACACTCAAATAACTATGAACACAGCCACAGTGCGCTGACCGTGTTTCGAAAATAAAAATATTTTTATAACATTAGATACATAAAAATAAAATTAAAATCATACTTCATAATGGCTAAAGGAATAGCCGAAGGCGCTGGACATACAGAACATTCGGACAATTTTTACATACTTTATGTCCAGAAGATAAAAAATTATACGAACGCAAAAAAATAAAAAATTGAATATATAAATATATATATATATGTGTGTGTGTGTGTGTGTGTGTGTGTGTGTGTGTGTATGTATGTGTGTGCGAAAATATAAGTCGGTCTCTGAATTTTCTTTTTAAACATTTGATAAAATTTATTATTTTTAATTAGCAGAATTCTGTTCACCTTGACATACATTAAATTACATAATTTTAAGTCTATAAATTGTTGTTTATTCATATATATATATATATATATATATATATATATATATATAAATTAATTGATTTAAAATAAATTTTTTTTTTCACACAGTTCCAACCATGTTTCAAAAAATAGAAGCTAAAAACCCTGAATTTAATTTTGCATATATATATATATATATATATATATATATATATATATATATATATATATATATATATATATATATATATATATATATATATATATATATATATATATATATATATATATATATATATATGTGTGTGTGTAATATATATATATATATATATATATATATATATATATATATATATATATATATATATATATATATATATATAATCACGCAATGATCAAACCCACTGTAAGCGTCAGTCGTCTATCAGCCCAACTTTCTAACCATTGCTCTAAGCCAGGTAACTAAGTCTGTCTCAAATGTGCTAGATAATTGGGTACAACATATTAAAAAACTAGATATTCGGTAGAGATCTGTATATTTAAAAATCCCACAATTCAAGCACTAGTATTGTGGAGACTCCATCTAGACAACGATACAGACGTAGCAATTCAGTGGATAAAAATAAGGAAAGTCAGAAATCCACCTACTGGGATGAAAAAAAAATCGAAAAAATGAAACATTGAGGAAAATGACGACGAAACATATGTGTTATATTTAACTAAATAAGGAATTAACAAATTTGTAGTTAATATCTTGTTTCAAGAAAAGGAATCAAATATTCAAATTTTGTATTTTCGAAGAGGAAATGTTCATATTAAATCATCAGACACAAATTAATATTCCAAAATGTTTAAAACAAATTGAGAGAGTTCGTTTTTCATATAAAACTTATACGGTTGTATTCAACATGAAGGAAAAGATATATTTTAAGTTATTTAGCTTTGGAGTTTAATAGAGTTCTTTGAAATTGCCCTGTTCTCAATAGAGTCCTATAATGTATCAGCGTGTAATTTGACACCTGCTTTATTCAGACGCAAGGAACTCTGTCTTTCTGTCTCCTGCTTCCTTCTGATTTTTCTTTCTCTCTTCCTCTCTGCCTTGATTCAAATTTCTGTGCGTATTTATATCAAAAAGGGATTTTATATCGGCTCGTTACTTTTTTCAGTCCCTTTTCCATTGGTCAAAATAAATTTTCACATAGCCTCGTTAAAGTTTGCCTTGGGGCCCTTCTTCTATTGGTCAGAATAAATTTTCGAAAAGGCTCGAAAATTTGAAAACAATGGTGAAAAGAGAGTTATATTTATTTTGTATTCACCACACCAACAATGGGCTCGCAAGCGGGTATTTGGCATTTTTTTCGAACATCTTTCGAGTGATACATCCTATGTCAAGTTTGAAAGTAGACAGTCTCAGGATTTCAGAACTGGTCTAATTTTATCCTAACAGCAATTATCGACCAATTTACCATCGTTTGAAGTTAAACAAAACTCGCACATGTTTAATCATTTATTTTTCGGTGATCAATTTTGGATAGTTGCTTTTTCTTTTTTTTCTTTTTGCTAGAAAAGTCACTAGAATCTTGTTGAAATTAATCTTTTTAGTTTATGGTGACACTCTTTTCTAAAATGTCTTATATAAAGTATATTTTTAGACCCTAAATATCAAAATTCATTCAATGAAATGTTCTCCTGTATATAATTTTTTTCTTCTCAGACCAACCCAAATTCTGATAATACTAACATAAAATGCCCGCGACATTTTTTCCCTCCTTTTTTAGCGCAATTTCACACTCAAAAAAGGAAACAATTTAAATCTGTAAGATATAAGGAAATTTCTTCTCGCAAAATTGATCATTTGACGCCATATGCCGGACACCAAATATCGGTTTTCATTATAAATTCCCTTCTATTTATTTATATCTCTATTTCTATCTATGTTGTGGGTGCTGAATCAATTTTGACATTTAGATTTTGACTTCTCTTCCGATCTAACATTAACTTCTCAATGGGGAAAAAATGGCTGGTTACATTCAATGCTTCGAAAACCAAACCGGTTACATTTGATCAACGCCGATCAGACTCCGAACTACCGCCACTCACGATGAATAGATCTCCACTTGAGGATGATCTGTGCCTTGAGAGCGTGTTGGGCTTCAACACCCGATCTCTTATCTATCGCTAAAGATGCAGGTAATCGATCGACTCCCTGTAACGCCCCAGTCACTTCTCATGCTATTCTCTACGTTTATAAGAGCCAGATCAGGCCCCAAATAGGGTACTGTTGCCATATTTAGGCGGGTACTGCCTAGTCCTCACTTTCCTGTTTTGATAGAGCTCAAAAGCGTCTTCGAGTCCTTGTTGGAGAAGACTTATTTTCCACCCTTTAACCTCTCTCTCTCTCTCTCTCTCTCTCTCTCTCACAGGCGGGATGTGGCGTATCTCTCACTGCTCTATCGCTAATACCATGGAAAGTGCTCGGACGAACTATATTCCTTACCTCCACCAGTCTTAACCTTTATGACTCGAACCCACCATGCCACTTGCATAGTAACAAACCCCCACCACATTCCTTCCGTATTCCATCAGTGAGAAATAAGTTCCACTCGAACAGCTTCTTCCCACGAACCAATGTCCTGTGAAACAGACTCCCAAGAGGATGTTTCCCCGATCACTACAATCTTAATCTATTCACGCCTAGAGTTAAACGTTATCTTACCATTCTATCCTTACAAACTACTCCTTAACGTTACATTCTACCTTGAGTGCCCCCACCGGCCTTGTTCAGTTGAAAAGAATTAAGTGCCTAAGTTACCAGATGAAATAACAAGCGAAAACAGTCGCTCTCCTCTTCATCCTTTCTCACCTCTCCGCCGAATCCTGTAGTACCCCAACCCAGGATCGAACTTTCTACCACAGTGAGCGCAAAAAACCCAACTCGTTGCCCTATGAGAATTAAAGTAAAGGGAAAATGAGCTGCTCTACATCTCTACTTGAGGATGATATAGATACTCCTAATACTTGATTTCTTTCAATATTTTGTAAACTCAGCCGCGACCTCAAGTGGTTTTCCTATATACGATCCATCGCTGAAAATGCAGATAAAATGACTATATTTAGTCTCCCTCCCACTAGGGCAACATGTGACACAAGGTCTGCAGATAAAATGACTGGTTCCCTGTACCACTGCAGTAACTCCTTATGCTACCCTCTTCGTTCATAAGAGCAAGATCAAGCCCCAAATAGAGTACAGTTACAATATTTGGTCGGGAACTGCCTATTTCTTACTTTCTAGTTTTGATAGAGCTCAAAAGCGTCTTCGAGTCCTTGTTGGAGAAGAATTATTTCCCACCCTTTAACCTCTCTCTTACAGGCAGGATGTGGCGAGTCTCTCACTGCTCTATCTCTACCATTATGGAAAGTACTCGGACGAACTACATTCTTTGGTTCCGCTAGGTATAACCTTCATTACGCCATGCCACTTGCATAGTAGCAAACCATTCCCATTCCATCCGTTTTCCGGCGAGAAGTAAGTTCCACTAAAATAGCTTCTTCCACGAATCACTGCCCCATGGAACAGACTCCCAAGAAAATGCTTGCCCGATCACTGCCGTCATCTACCTCCCTCCTATCTATATAAACTACCACTTAACGTAACCCTTTACCTCCAGTGGACCTAGGGCCTTGTACAGGTTGAACCTTACGGTAAAAAAAATCCTTAAAAAACGAAGTCTGAATGGGTCAGATGCAAAATTAGAAACGAATAAAAGTGTGCTAAATTGCTATATAAGTTCCACTCGAGCAGCTTCTCCCCACGAACCGCTGTTTCGTGAAACCGACTCCCAAGAGGATGCTTCCCCGATCGTTGTCTAGTGTCAACCTTTATCTGCGCCAAATATCTCCTTATCACATCGAGTGGGTTTTCGGCCTTGTACAGGGTGAACATCATTGTAAGAAAAACGAGATTATCAGCATTTAAGAAATTTCGCTTGCTAGATCCATGAAGTCCTGACTGAATTAAATTGATAGCTCAGTTAAAAATGAGACCCACCCCTCGCACGTTTCTGCAAAAATCAACCATTGGCGATTTTCACTTCAGAAGAAAAAAAAGTACTTTGGAAAACTGATTCTGAGAATCTTTTCGTAGGAAATACCACCCTGGGACAAGCTGGCAAAAGTCTTAAAATAATTAGTTCTTTTCGGGAATCGTATCTCTTCCCTGTAGACTTGGCGTTCTAGACTTAAAACCCTATTTTTCTAGTTAGAAATATCAAAGTCGTGTTTAAATCTGTCTATCTCTTAAGTACAAATAATATTAATATATTTCTGTAATTTAGGTGAAAATCATTTAAGTTCTAGAAAAACTACACATGTCCGCTTGACTCTCTTGTGCGAGCCCGTTGTATATGGATCATGTTCTGAATACTTCTGGAACACCTACAGCCAGCACTTGGTCCAGCGATTAACAATCCTGTCTCGCACCTCAATGGGTAGTAACATAAAATCGCACTTGTTGCCCGCAACACCCGGAACCATCAAACACGAAATTTTGTGGTTAACGCCGTGTTGCTGGGGTTAGCGGCCAACACCATTAATGCTACCTGTTTTAATTTTCTTTATCAGATTTAAGTTGAAATGTTAATCCCCACCATGCACCTGGAAGAGAAACTGTCAGTCAGTTATGTGCCATGCGTGAAACACGCTTAGGCGATCATGTATCTTTCGATACATGACTGACAAGATTTTTTTTCCCGGAGTAGGTTGTCATTTCTTTCTACAGTAGACCATTTTCCATCCTGGTCTGTCCTGCTATTTACCCATAGCTGGTGGGAGAAGAGGATTCATACCTTTCTCAAGGCTATTAGTACGTAAGTGAATTTAATTGATTCGACAGGAATTCGGCTCCCCGATTCCTCAATCCGAGTCGCTATCCATTACTCCACAAAGAGAAACAGTAATGCTAAAATTTGGCGCATGCCACGTAAAATTACGTTAGGTTGTCATTCAATTTATGATCTGCAGGATGAATGTTCGGGAATATCTGAACAACTCTCTACTAGGCCAACATCTAAAGAAATTTAATTAAAAATGTCATCTTTTGAATTGTTTCAGAAAACTGTCCTCAGAATGATGGCTTCATTTTGTATCGAAAAGAAAACATTTGCTATTTCCTGTCGACGGAAAAGAAAACATGGTATCAGGCGAAAAATGAATGCAATAAAAGAGGCTTAAGATTCATGAAAATTACAAAGAAAGAAGTTCAAGATCACTTAGCGCTACTGTTGTCTCGTTATTCCGGTAAGTATTTGATATTTTTGGCATCGTTCTTTTATATGAATGCATGAAAATGTTAATAAATAATGACAATCAAGAAAAGCAATAAAAATATGTCCAAAAGTAACAAAAGTTTATTTTATTCGCGAAGAATCAGTCAGTTATGTGCCATGAGTGATACACGCTTAGGCGATCATGTATCTTTCTATACATGACTGACGAGGCAGATTTTTTTTCCCACAGTAGGCTGCCATTTCTTTCTGCGGTAGACCAGTTGCCATCCAAGGCTATAAAACCCAATCTGTTCTGCTATTTACCCATAGTTGGGGTGGAGAAGAAGAGGATTCATACCTTTCCCAAGGGTATTAGCACGTAAGTGTATGTAATAGATTCGACTGGAATTAGAACTCGGCTCTCCGGTTCGTCAGTCCGAGCCGTTATCCATTACTCCACCGTGCCCCGATTTATTAGTAAAGTTCGCACGTCCGTTACGCCTTGCCAATACTTCATAAATACGTGATTATTCCGTTTTGATTGCGTGGAAAAACGAAAAAAGAAAAAACAGATCCGAGAGTCTGTTTGGTTTCAGTAAGAAAAAGAAAGAAAGAGAAGACATAGGAGACAATAAAATTATCATGTGTTTAAAGCCTACGTCAGTGAAATGGAAAACTTGTCAATTTCAAATCTTTTTATTTGTGCCCTCTTACGTCTTTAAATATTAACCTGCATTCATATTTATGGTTGCAATATTTTCTTAAAATTAAGTTAAAATATGTATCGATATAGGAGGGGGATTTCTATGGGTATTTTATCGTCGTAGAACTTGCAAGAAGTTTATTCAAATCATTAACTTAAGAATTATGATTCATCTGCAAATTAAAATGGGAAAACCGTGCAATTTTAACGCACATTTCTGGTAGTCATTATTATCCATAAAAAATTTGGCTTACGGCTACATCATGTTGAAACACCGATTCCGGGATGATCATCGAGGTTAAGCAACGTCCGGACTGGTCGGTATCTAGATGGGTGATCGCTTTGGAATACCAGGTGCTTACGGCCACATCACGTTGAAAACTGGTTTTCGTACGATCACCGAAGTTAAGCAACATCGAGCCTGGTCAGTACCTAGATAGGTGATCGCTTTGAAATGTCAGGTGCTTATGGCCACATCACGTTGAAAACTGGTCCTCGTGCGATCACCGAAGTTAAGCAACATCGAGCCTGGTCAGTTGCTAGATAGGTGATCGCTTTGAAGTGCCAGGTGCTTATGGTCACATCACCTTGAAAACTGGTTCTCGTGCGATCACCGAAGTTAAGCAACATCGAGCCTGGTCAGTTGCTAGATAGGTGATCGCTTTGAAGTGCCAGGTGCTTATGGCCACATCACGTTGAAAACTGGTTTTCGTACGATCACCGAAGTTAAGCAACATCGAGCCTGGTCAGTTGCTAGATCGGTGATCGCTTTGAAATGTCAGGTGCTTATGGCCACATCACGTTGAAAACTGGTTTTCGTACGATCACCGAAGTTAAGCAACATCGAGCCTGGTCAGTACCTAGATAGGTGATCGCTTTGAAATGCCAGGTGCTTATGGCCACATCACATTGAATACCAAGTACATGCGAACACATCGTGTTGAAATCACCAAAGTTAAGCAACGTCGAGCTGGCCAGTAACTAGACAGGGGAACACGTGGGAATAACAGGTACTGTAAGCTAGATGTGTGGGTGGTGTAATAAGTAATGGCTCCAATTACCGTTAGTTTCGTTATATTCACTTAGGCGAAAATACGCTTGGAAAACATATGAATCCACCTCTTCTTCCCCAGCTAGGGGGTGATTATTAAGACTTGTGGCACGGTGGGTTAATGGATAGCGGCTCGAATTGAGGAATCTGAGAGCCAAGTTCGAATTCCAGTCGAATCCATTGGGAAAAGGTATCAGTTCTCCTTTCAGCTAAATAACAGGACAGACCGGGTTCTTTGGCAACTGGTCTACCGCAGAAAGAAATGGCACCCTACTGCGGGAAAGAATTTGCCTCGTCAGTCATGTATCGAAAGATACATGATCGCTAAGCGGGTATCACGCTTGGCACATAACTGACAGACTCAAAAAACTGTCTAAATAAATATTTCCTAGGTTTTAAATAGCCTGCAATGGTTTAATAAGCAGTAGGAAACCAATCAATCAATAAAACAAAAGGTCGTTCTGTGAAAAAATATCATTTATTCCTCGATGAAAAATAGAGAATTTGACATGAAAGGAACTTTGGGCATATTAAGGGGATTAATACACTTTGGGCATATTAAGGGGATTAATGTCACCTTGGTTTTCTCTTAGTATTTCAATGATTTAATGAAATGAAAATCACAATGGATAAGCAAGTTGAGACCGGCGCTTGCAATAAAACATACCCGTCTCACGATTTGTTGTTTGGCATGGTTGACTTCATTGTGTATGTTTGAATTGGCTGTAGATTTGTAGAGAAGATCGTTTCTCTACAACCCTTCAAATTACTGGTAATAAAGACCAGCTTTGATAATCCCACAATATTTCAAGAGCTTTAATAATCGAAATCTTCCAGATCTAGTTCTGTTTAATATTCTAGTTACATGTTTGCGGAAAGGTGCTTGAAATTAGACTCTTCGGGGCGTGTGTAGCAAAGGAAAAGAAAATGTTGGTTGCAGATAGAGACATCGAAATGTACTAAATATGTTAAATGTAAATTTTAAAAATTTTATTTTATTTTGCTGCAATAACATCTGTGGCCGAATGGTAAAGCACGACTGTCTAAAATGTGGTTTGCGAAAATAAAGAGAATGCATTTTCGTTAACTACCGGGGGGGGGGCATTTTGTTTAAAAAAAAACTACGTTGTCGAGGAAGATGGACATTAATTTCAGTGTCCCATAAAATATCTGGGATGTCCACTCAAACACAATTATCCACGACATAAATAGATAGATAGATAGATAGATAGATAGATAGATATGAAGAGACTGAAATAGATAGATAGATAGATAGATAGATAGATAGATAGATAGATAGATAGATAGATATGAAGAGACTGAAATAGATAGATAGATAGATAGATAGATAGATAGATAGATAGATAGATAGATATAAATTGACTGAAATATATATAAATTGACTTAGATTAACATAGGTAGATATAAATTGTGTGAGATAGATAGACATATATAAGTTTTATGAGATAGATAGATAGATAGATAGATAGATAGATAGATAGATAGATAGTGGTCAACGCCAGAAAATACCACATGATACGAATCGAATTTAATGTCAACGAGGAACTCTTTTATGAGAGAGGTTGATCGGTGATGACCTGAGTATGCACTGGCCTCATTGTTAATGATACCAAAATTGCTTTTGTAATTTGTCTTATACCAGTCCATCACAGAAGCTAAGTGATTCAATGATTTAATCTGTAAGGCAACTCCCTAACCACCAGGTACATATTCACACCTTCAATAGATTTAAGAGCATGTTCATGACTTGAAAAAATAGGTGAGTAAAATGCGCTTTCAATATGTACACGTGGTTCAACCGACGACATGGAGATATATAAGCACTCACCTGTGCAATAAATGGCAGTTCTCATTTCCACGCGAGAAGAATACAATTCGGAGATCACGACTTCCCAAAGCTGCAAATTGATTCGCCCACATGAATTGATTAAATCCGCGTTGAATAAATAATAATGTTACGTAGGAAAGATTTATTCTCATGTTCTTCGTTTGTACAACAATAAGAGAGTTGGACATAGATCGATAGATATAGAATTTGTAATGAATATATCTGTAATGCAACTATAAATTTATAAAAATCACACAACTCTTTAAGTAAATAAATGATCCCTATCATTATCAGCAAAGATTAAATAATAATGTTCTTTAGTCGAATGCTCCCAATTTTGTATTTTGGTCAAGATAACGTAATAACACCAATACCATTCATTTTTCTTATCAGGTATTCAATATTATATCGGATTGAAAAGCAAAGATGGAAACAACCAATGGAAATCAATGAAATTTGATCAGCCATTTGACACCAACCGATGGGTTTGGAGTGACGGTGAAATGCTTCATAGTTTTATAAATTGGGCGCCAAATCAGTCGGTAAGGACTGGTACGACATGTGTAATCATGGCTGCCTATCAGTCGCGTTATTGGAACAATGTTAAATGTTCCAGTAGTATTAGATTTATTTGCGAAAAAATTCTATGAAAATAAACCTGAGAGAGGTGAAACATCACATGACAGTGTCTTATCCACACAAATCATTAATGGCGTATTTTGCTAGCTTTAATCTAAATACTAAAGAAAAAAAAACGTTTAGATCGAGTTTGACAAATGTTATATCGGCTTGCATTATTGTAAAACTATCAAAAGGGAAATATTTTTACTAACTAATACTAGCATTAAAGATTTTTCGTATTTTAAGAAAAATGCTTCAGTTATACGCGTCGATTTTGCGGTAGGGAATATTCCAATACACGCGGACACACACACACACATATACATATATATATGCAGACATACGCACGCACAAAAATACATACGTACGAAAAAAAATACACAAACCTTTTTAATCTAAAGAAGAATCTTGAAAAATTTCACACAGATGTACAGCAACTTATAATCAAAATGAAAATATGTAATAAAAACTTCAACGAACAAACCTTTTCACTCGATTTTTAATAAATCTTGTTTGAATGAATTCTTGTAACCGGCTATACAATATATATATATATATATATATATATATATATATATATATATATATATATATATATACTGATGCTGTGGTAATGGAGCTAAAGCACGCAGATTGAAACCGCTTAGCACATTTCCCAGGCCCAACAAACAATATATTCGGTAAATCTCGTGTCTTGCGAATTTTTTCTTTTCAAAAATTGAATCTCACTTGAAAGTGACAAGATTTCAAGACGTCGAAGAAATCCAAGAGAATGTGATGAAAGATGTGGCTGTGCTCACTCCCCCCACCAAAAAAAAATAAAGGGGTTACCAGGAAAGCTTTCATGAACGGAAAAGACGCTGGATAAAGTGTTTGAATTCTGAAAGTGTCTACTCCGATGGATATTAAACGTCGAATTAAAAAAAAAAAAAAACGTAAGTAAAATCTACATTCAGCTAAAAATAAAAAAACATTCTCGATAAGCGTACCTGGACAGTTTTTACACACTATGCCCAGAAAAGAAATGTCTTACAAGAACACAAGAAAAATTAAATAAAAAGCTTAATTGCAGTACCTTGTCAGTCGTCTTTAATGAAACATGTATAAACGTGGGATTGCTGCCCAAATACAAATATATATATATATATATATATATATATATATATATATATATATATATGTGTGTGTGTGTGTGTGTGTGTGTGTGTGTGTGTGTGTGTGTTTTAAATTTTAAACGCTGATCCGACGAAATGGTGTATATATATATAAAGAGAGTTAAATATTTAAATTGCTAACAAGCATTAAATTAGTTTCTTCGTGTTTTTTTAAACATTTAAATTACTATCAAACGTTAAAATCTGTTTTTTAACCTAAATTGCTAAAACTATACCACCCCTCTTCTTCCTCCGTAAACCCTAAATACATCTCTTTTCTCTTTACCTCCCCCCTCTTACTTTTTTCTTTCTTCTCTCTTCTCTCCTTCCCTTTCAACATATCATTTCCGTTAAGTTGACCAATTAAATAGCTCAGTGTCTGGTCCCTCCTTCCTCAATACTAAGTATGATAGAAAGAAATATTAAAATAAACCCTCTCTAAACTTGACCATGTCTCTCACACCACTCCTCGCTACCCTCTCTGTTAAATTACATAAACTTAATACTACTCGTCAAAAGTGTAAATTTTGATTTCATTTTTCGTGTCACCTTTTTGAAGTGATATCTGATGATCCAGGGTAATTTAAAAGGTCTCTGGTGAAATAAACTATTACAATGGAGCTTTAAAGTGGTCTTTTTTTTTCTTTAATATATATATATATATATATATATATATATATATATATATATATATAAACCCATACATATATATGTGTGTGAAGACAGAACGAAAAATTTTATTTTAGCCAAGCGTATCGTCTTCTAAGGGACTTTATCAAGGCAAATGCAAAGAGTTGTAAATAAAATCCTTTGCATTTGCCTTTTGAGAAAGTACCTCAGAAGACGTTACGCGTCGGCTGAGTAAGTTTTCTTTTTGTCTTTATTCATATTCTCCTCTTACATATATATTATACTGAAATTTTACACACACACACGCACACACACACACACACACATATATATGTATATATATATATATATATAATCAGGAAGCTTCGTATTATGTCATGTTTCACCGATTAAAGAGATATGTCAAAAAATGGATTCTATTTCAACCAAATCTACATTCGTAAGACAGAATGTAATTATTTTAATCCTATTAGCGCTGATCATCTACTTATTTTAGCTGTATAATTTTTAAATTAGATGTTACTAATATCAAATTAACTGAAATTAGTAAAATCTAACTTCAAAATCGATACAGTTAAAATAAAACGAT